GCGATTGTCGAGCACAATACCCTGTTAATAACAGTAACCCTCAGCAATATGGGTGCTGTGCATCGTGGGCAAAGTATGATTGCTGGCTCAAACTAGCAGCGGTAAATATATTTAAAATAATTTTTCATACACGTTTATTATTTATCAAAAAATATTAATGAATAACGATTTATTAAAAAGGGTACAATAAAAATTCATTGAGTGCTTAGTAATTATAAACAAAGCCTTTTCAATCGCAGTTTAGTCATTCATTCAATGTAATATATTTGTAATGTGTAGCAAGATAAGATTTTAAATTCTGTATACTTTGTATTTTACACATGTGTTTTAAAGCTTTAAATGGGTTTTCAATGTATCCTTTTTAATAGATCGTCTCAAATTAAAAATGTTTTATTTGTTGATAACATTGCTACTATCAGGAGTACTGTAATGCTACTCAACAAGAAGGTGTACTTCTAAATGAAGCACCAGAATCAATTGCTGTGACCGGAACCAAGTGTCCGAGCTACCCATATTTGACCAGGGACACACTTTGCTACATTGACACCCAACCCATAGTACCTGTGCTACCCGTGCCGACCCTAATGTCCAATTACCCCAATGAGGACGAGAACTCGTTGGTATGCGGTGCTGAGATTAGCCCTGATGTTGAAAATTGCATCCTGGCCAAAAATGTGACCAATACCTCTGACACACAGTTTGAATGCTGCAGTATCTGGGCTCGGTTTGATTGCCTGACCCAGTATTCCCAGGTTTGTAATCACTTTTAGGTTAACTAGTACAAAATACAAACAAATGCATATTTATTCATCAATTATATTTAGGTTTTAAACTATATTTAATTAAATTAATTTATAATTATATATAATATTTACAACTTTTAGAGTGATTGCCCCAAGGATCAGGCCACTGAATTGGAAGTTGAAATGAACAAGGCAATTGCATCTCAAGATGCCAATGCGTGTGTGGACTACACCTTTGCTGATAGAGAATCGCAGTGTTTTGGTAATAACTGAGATTATCTTGATAACAAATGAATTAACAGATTGATTAAATAAAATTGTTAATTCTTGAATTCAAATAAACTTGCAAGCATAAATTTTGTTTAATTTATTTAACACTTCTCAAATAAAGTTAATTAACATTTATTGCAAATGAAATAGGTTTTAGTAAAATAAGTGACAATCGTTTCACATTGAAAACTAAGTAAACCATTATTGTTTTTTAATGTTAAAATAATTATTAAATTAGGGTGTAAAAGACAATTTTTTGTAAAATTTGTTACTTAAGTTTTTAAATTTCTAAATACTATCAGTTAATAATGTTTGATAATACTAACCTTGACATTATGTTTATTTATGATAACAAATTACTATTTGTCTAAGATACCTAAGTTTTAATTTTTGTTTTATAATATTTATCGTATATTTTATACAGCGTAAATTAACATTAATAAACAAAATTAATTATATTATAAAGAGACTAGTGGTTAAATTATTAATTGTAATAGTGCATAATTTATAAAATGTCAACTTCATATGATTTCAGTGGAAAAGTCGTGATAATTACAGGTTCAAGTACTGGTATCGGTGCCCAGACTGCCTTACAGTTTGCGAAGTCCGGGGCACAGGTAGTGGTGACGGGACGTAACGGTCAGAGAGTCAGTGATGTCGGCAAACAGTGTTCAGACATATCCCCAAAAGGTTTGAAAGCATTGGAAGTGTTGGCAGACGTTAGCAAAGAAGACGACTGCAAACGACTCATTCAATCCACTGTTGAGGCCTTCAATCGGATCGACGTTTTGGTGAATAACGCGGGCTTCTAGTGGTTAAATTATTAATTGTAATAGTGCATAATTTATAAAATGTCAACTTCATATGATTTCAGTGGAAAAGTCGTGATAATTACAGGTTCAAGTACTGGTATCGGTGCCCAGACTGCCTTACAGAACTGTTGAGGCCTTCAATCGGATCGACGTTTTGGTGAATAACGCGGGCTTTGGTCTGAACTCACGGATCACTGATGAGGACTATTGCCTCAAATTAGACACAATGTTTGCATCCAATGTTAAATCAGTCATTCATTTGACACAACTATCGGTCGAGTATTTAGAGAAAACTAAAGGAAACATTGTTAACATTTCTAGTATCTCTGGAATCATCCAGGTTATTTATATATATTTGATATATTCTTAAAATATTTGTTAAATTATTATCATGTTACTTTTACACTTCTAAACTAAGACTTACGAAAAGTTTACGAATTCGTTAGTAGCAAAATAATTTTTAAAATTAATATATGTTTTAACATAGTGTCCGAATTTATCTGGATACTGCATGACTAAAAGTGCCCTGGACATGTTTAGCAAATGCATGGCTGTTGAATTGGGTGACAAAGGAATTCGTGTAAATACCGTGAGGTCTGTATGAATCAAAATAATTAAACCTCAAAACCCTTTAACATAACTTTAATTCAATGAATAAATCAATTTATTACAAAGTCCTGGATGTGTGCGCACAACAGCCCGTATGACCAGAGGTGAGGCACCGGAAGACACCGACAAGTTTTACAATAAAGTGAGCGAAAGATATCCGGTGGGCAGACATGGAGTTCCTGAAGACATGGCCACTGCTATCATGTATTTAGCCAGTGATAGCGCGGCGTTTATAACGGGAACAGTACTCGTGGCAGATGGCGGACATCTGGCCGGGAATGTCGACCTGAGTTAGTACTCAATCAATTGTTATAACTTATTTTAATTAATATTAAAAATGATTTACATTCAAATATTCTCTATTCTGAATATTATATAATATACTTTTAAAATTACTTACTAGTATGTACATGTATGTACTAAATGTTATAATTTACAAATGATATTTGACATTAAATTGTATATTTCTATCAAAGTTTTATATATTGTGTAACCTTTATACTGTATTTATATCTTAACAGTTACTGATAACTTAATATTTAACTTTTGATAAAATACTTTATTTGGTTATTAAAATAAATAAAAATATAATTAATTACTATTTTGTGTATTTATTAATAACTTAATTTATTTGGAAATGTCAACTTCATATGATTTCAGTGGGAAAGTAGTATTAATCACAGGCTCAAGTACTGGTATCGGTGCTCAAACAGCCATACAGTTTGCGAAGTCCGGGGCACAGGTAGTGGTGACGGGACGTAACGGTCAGAGAGTCAGTGATGTCGGCAAACAGTGTTCAGACATATCTCCAAAAGGTTTGAAAGCATTGGAAGTGTTGGCAGACGTTAGCAAAGAAGACGACTGCAAACGACTCATTCAATCCACTGTTGAGGCCTTCAATCGGATCGACGTTTTGGTGAATAACGCGGGCTTTGGTCTGAACTCACGGATCACTGATGAGGACTATTGCCTCAAATTAGACACAATGTTTGCATCCAATGTTAAATCAGCCGTCCGTTTGACACAACTATCGGTCAAGTATTTGGAGAAAACTAAAGGAAGTATTGTTAATATTTCTAGTATTTCTGGATTGATTAGAGATGTAAGTGAATGTCAATTACTTAAATGACTATTATACTTTTATACTATTTAAATTTTAAACTAACCCATAAACTAGATTCACAAAAATTTAATATTCTGTATAGTGCCCGAATATATCTGGATACTGCATGACTAAAAGTGCTCTGGATATGTTTAGCAAATGCATGGCTGTTGAATTGGGTGACAAAGGAATTCGTGTAAATACTGTGAGGTTTGTAAAAATCAAAATAATCAAATCATACAACCCTTTAACATAACTTAATTCAATAAACAAAGTCCTGGATGTGTGCGGACGACATGCCGTATAACCAGAGGTGAGACACCTGAAGACACCGATAAATTTTACAATAAAGTGAGCGAAAGATATCCCATCGGCAGACATGGAGTTCCTGAAGACATGGCCACTGCTATCATGTATTTAGCCAGTGATAGGGCGGCGTTCCTGACGGGGACTATACTTGTGTCCGATGGCGGACATCTGGCCGGGAATGTTGACTTGAGTTAGTCTTAACAAAGTTTCTATATATTTATTATAAAAATCAATATTAACAGTGATTTATAATCAAATATTTCCAGGATTTAACTAATATTTTTAAAAATCACTTACCACTACCTATACAGTAAATATCATTAAACTTTAATTTGGATATAAACTTTTATATTAATTTTGATTAGCAAAATCAAACGAAATTTATTTAAAAACTTTCTAATATGTAACCTTCATTTTGTGTTTATATCTTAAGAGTGCAATTATTTATAGATAACTTTCTGTTAATATTTAACATTTGATAAAATTCTTAAATGTCGCTAAAATAATCAATAAAAATATAATTTATTACTTTACATATAATTTGAAAATATGTCACTTTTATATAACTTCAGTGGGAAAGTAGTATTAATAACGGGCTCGAGTGCGGGTATCGGTGCCCAGACTGCCTTACAATTTGCGAAGTCTGGGGCACAGGTAGTGGTGACGGGACGTAACGGTCAGAGAGTCAGTGATGTCGGCAAACAGTGTTCAGACATATCTCCAAAAGGTTTGAAAGCATTGGAAGTGTTGGCAGACGTTAGCAAAGAAGACGACTGCAAACGACTCATTCAATCCACTGTTGANAGCATTGGAAGTGTTGGCAGACGTTAGCAAAGAAGATGACTGCAAACGACTCATTCAATCCACTGTTGAGGCCTTCAATCGGATCGACGTTTTGGTGAATAACGCGGGCTTTGGTCTGAACTCACGGATCACTGATGAGGATTATTGCCTCAAATTAGACACAATGTTTGCATCCAATGTTAAATCAGCCGTCCGTTTGACACATCTCTCAGTCGAGTATTTGGAGAAAACAAATGGAAATATAGTCAACATTTCTAGCATTTCTGCTAATATGCAGGTAATTGACAAGTATTAAGTGTTATATAGTAAACCACTTTACAAATTGTATAAATTATTTTAGTTTGAAAATTTTTTATAGAGGCAAAATAATAATTATTATGTTAATACCTTTTTAACAGGTTCCTAAATTATCAGGGTATTGTATGACAAAATGTGCTCTGGATATGTTTACTAAATGCATGTCAGTTGAATTGGGGCCCAAAGGCATCCGTGTAAATGCAGTAAGGTTTGCATATTTGCTAAGCTATATAAATTTTAAAATCCTAAAAATCAATTCAAATTGGTTTCATTAAAGTCCCGGTGCTGTCCGTACATCTGCGCGCACAACACGAGGTGAAGCACTGGAAGACACCGACAAGTTTTACAATAAGGTTAGCGCCAGATATCCGGTCGGTAAACATGGAGTACCCGAAGATATAGCCAATGCTGTCATGTATTTGGCGAGCGATACCTCTTCATTCATCACCGGTACTGTACTGGTCGCTGATGGCGGTAACCTGGCTGCTAATGTCAACTTAACCAGTACATAATCAAACACTTAATTTTATACCTACCACCTACTTAACCGTAGATCTTTAAAAATTATGACAACTTTCCTAAAAATTAATTCCTATGAATAAATAACTTGAAAAATATGAATTCCTATGCTATTTATATTAAATGACGTTTACTATTGGGTTAATTGGCATTCCGAGAGACATCCAGAAGCCAGTGTTTGAGGTATAGATGTGTAGCAATTTGATGGGGAAAGGGATGCGAGAGAGAGAGAGAGAGAGAGAGAGAGTACTGACACAAACACAATACTAGCGGTGTTTTCGGACATGCATTCAATACTCGCATAAAAGTCTCATTCAATACGAAGAGGCAGTTATCGATCGGACACAACAGCCATAGCTAACCCCCACTCGCGAGCTGTCGGCGCACAATCATCCGGTGCTGTGCTTTACCAGACATACAGTGCACACACGACCAGATTATCGACTGAAAATGTTTAGATGCCATTCCCCTCTACCATACAGAGTATTTTGATTGTAAGTGTGTTTTATGTAAGTAAAGCACGAAATTTCTCGTAGCGTTGCATTGTATGGGAAAATGTCGGCACAAACTACCAGTGCTCTCGTCCGCGATTGACGAGAATAATGAGTTTGTGAGTCCTATTCCTGCTGTATATCTGGTGTCTGTTGTACTGTAAGTCAACTGTATTTTCAATAAATATCTGAATATATTCAATACCATTGAACACCAGTCCTTGTGTTAACACTTATAATACTGTGTAAACAATTAGTCAAACAAATCAATTAAAATACAAAAAACTGTTATAAACTTAACGTATGATTCTGTGCTTAAGAATTACGGATTAATTATTTCTTATTATTGTATATGAAGTGAAGATTTTTGTTATTCATTCAGTGAATACTTACAATACTATTGAATATTCCGTTCATTCATAATAAAGGAGTACTAAAATTCATTTAAAAGTCAGTATTTCGTTCATTTAATAATTATAAAAATATTTCTGAAATATTTAAACAGAATTAATGAATTTTATTTACTTATTAAAATGAAAATTAATTTTCTTAATGTTATGCCTGCTATGTGTGTCTCTTTATATTAGCTCTCATTTTAATAAATATTTAATTTGAAATCTTTTTTATGAGACTAATATTCATTCAAAAAAAGCTTAATAAATTATACCCTAATATAATTTATTAAATATCATGTATATTAAACCATTGTTTTATATTTTATTAAAATCTACTAGCACTGTGTAATAAAAAAATTAAAATAAGAGTTTAATTTCAGATATTTATATTGATTTAAATATTTCAATTCAATTCTAGTGTAAAGATTCTAGACAATTGAATTAAATAATTATTATGTGTTTAGTTTGAAAAAACTAAATAATTGAATTTATGAACAGCGCAATGCTGTGATTTTCAATACACAATCGACCGGCGCATTGTAACCAAGTATAATGGATCGGTGTTATTTATAAATAAATTTTTTATTAACTTAGTAAATGACAATACAGTAGAAATGTCAGAATACATGTACTAGGTATAAATAAAATATGTACTTAAAATCTCTATACATTATTTTGTATACAACAAAAATATTGATATATTTAAAAGTTGTTATATATTTTATACATACTGTACTGATTGTAACAGATTATAAATATTTAATTAAAACCAAATCTAAAATAAAAGTAATAAAAATCTGTTTTAGGACATGTACCAAACTGTGATTAGGTGTACACTATTGTATGAGACAAATGCTTATGGATTTACTACAATATCTGACATTTTTAGGCTAATATGGGCTCACTTATAGCCACCTCTGTGTCTGGATTACTATTTTACGATAAAGTATTACACGCTTCACATAATATGCATTCAGAATACGCTTTCACATGAGAAATACCTTTGCATTCATTTTATGATTGAAATTTCAAATGAATTTCACTTTTGGTTTATATATTCACTAATCCCTTAGAATTGATGAGCGAATAATAAAAACACATTAATATATAGTACTAAATATATAAAACACTTTACTTTCTGAGTCTCCAAACAATAAAACTGAACACAAAAAACCAGTTATCGGGAGACAAAAGGAAAAGGAGATCACAATTCCTACTGAGAAATGCATTGCACTTCGCAACTCATCTGCAGGTGTTCTCCACCACCACCTCATCCCTATACATCCCTATCCCCTCTGCACTTACACTCCGCACCCGAACCTGTATTTTGTTTGACAGATGTTTCCAGGAGTCGGTTTTCTCCCACTTTTTTGCCATCGCTTTTAAGACAATTACTTTTGAGAAAAAACTTAATTACATAACAAATATAGTGAACAAAATTTTTAATAACGATATTTTCACATATTTTAAAAATTTACACAGTTTATATTTGATTTTAAAACTGTATTATACTGTATATTACGTTACCTACTTTACAAATAAATAGATATCGTATAAATGATAATATTTACAAATCAATAGGTATGTTAAACTTTGAAAAATGGTTTTAGTAACAAAAAACCGTTTGCAACCTACTCTCTCACCTGAGCTCTTAATAGTCATTAAAAAGCATAATAAATAAATTCATTACACAAAAAGAGATCTTCATTTACAATATTATGAGAATATTATTCAATAGAGATATAGAAAAAACGACTAAATTATATGTTTATATAATACAAACCAGCAATTAACCCATTATTAATAAACTAGAGTTTAACTGCTTTTTCTACACAACCATAGATGGATCGCATGAATACAAACCGTTATTAAAAATGGGATTACTTTTAGCTATAACTATGAATTTCTGTGTAATATTCTCACAATTAAATTCTTATAATTACTCAATTGTTTGCATCGCTTTTAGTCATGAATTCTCTATCAAAGTATATATTATCGACAGTGAACTGTAAGAATAGACTAGATTTTAAATATGCAAATATTAAGTGAAATTATAACCACTTTTTCACAACACCTTTCGCATGTAAGTAGCGATCAGTAGGGGTTCGCATAACTCGTATAATAAGCTATAATATGGAGTAAAATATTTGAACTCCGGACGACCCTCTCATCCCAACATTTACACCCAAAATGTAATGTCGTGTTAATACACCCTATGTTTCTGGGTATCACCTCTTATAAAATCATATTTTATTTTCACATCTCATATAAAAACTTTTGAAAGTTTTCCCTATTTTTAAACACGCAATAATTATGCAAAAAGTAATTTATATATAAAATAAAACTCTTTATTTTAGGTTATTAATAATTTTGTTTGATTTTATTTTTAACTATAATTCGTTTTGGATTTTTATTTTGCATGTTTTGTACTTAAAATGTAATTTGCATTTTCAAATGCTTTAAAAGCAGGATTTCAATTGAATAATCCTTATAACAGATATTAAGATACTATAAGATTATTGTAATTTTATATTGTGTTTAATTATTAAAAGTTACTTTATTCAAAAAATAACAAATATAAAATTAATGTATGCAAAGCGAAAATATATTAATATTATTATAAATGCATTATTATATTATATTTAAATTGATATTTATTTACATAAAAAATAGGGTATGTTAATATAATTTATGCATAATCACTAATTATATCTGATCACTGTAAATAATAAAACAAATATTTTTAAACCACTTTAAAATAATAAAATTTTAATTACAATACTTATAACTAACCGACTAAGTTGAGCATAATAATCTAGCTGCCTAAACTATTTAAATTACAAAATTATTTTGCAAAATTAAAAACTCGTAAAATTTAATTGAAAATCCCCAAAAACTTTAATTTAAATACTTTAGCCAAATATAAACTTAAAAGTGAATTGAAGCATAAAACCCTTATCTAAATAGTAAAGCATACAGTTGAAAAAGATACCAGTTCCTCTTGGCATAGGCCATACTCACACAAAACCACTTTTATAACTGTATTTATAAAAATATATGAATTAATGTGCGGTTCCCTAAGACTCGGATTTCTGTCTCACTATTATTAACATTAAATATATCTCTCATTTGATGCATGCGTTCAGCGAGAAAATACTTTTGACAGACTTCTGCGAGATTAATATTATATAGAAAACATCAATCAATCAATTTATACGACTTTTTAGCTGAACAACAGACAAAAATATTTCATTAAACTCGGAATGGAGTTAACTATAGTTATTGTGAAACAACATAAAAAAGATAACTTTATTTTAATAAACTTCAAAAATAATTAACAAATAGTATGCAACAATTCAAATGCATTTAAATAAATTCACTTTAAATATATTGATTATGAAAATGAGTATTCTTTGCTAACTAACAAAAACTAATTATGAAATAAAGATTACATTTTAAAAATAATACTTCAAAGAGCTTTAAATTTATCAGTATTTTTCATAAAAAAATTAAATTCTTATAATTACTCCACAAACGACATACCTGTGCACTGCACACACCTATTAACAGTTATTCAACTTTTGAGGAAAAATATTGTATTTAAAGCTCAGAAAAGGAGCAAAAATTTCTTTCTGACAATTCATTTACTTTTCATTTAAACGCATCAATAATTTTAATCTTATCGTCTCTCTCTCTCTCTCTCTCTCTCTCTCTCTCTCTCTCTCTCCGGCGAGAGAGCGAAAGAACCGTAACTTTAATTCATACCTAAAAGGCTTTACTTAAGAAAAGGACGACTTTTCTACTCTTACTTTGATATATAAATAACATAACAGTATATATTATATAAATTTATATAAAAAGTGATTGAAATATACATAACATTAGTGACAGTGAAATAGTGAGAGAGAAATAGTCAGTAAATATACGCTTTAAATGAGAATTTATTTCAAGCTTTCATGAGCTCACACTTACTCTTATATAACATACTTACTGTCCGGAGGCTATGCTCTGGTATTAAAGGGGCAGACACGTTAGATGCTTGACATACCGGTGCCCTACGTTGCTATAATAGCGTTAACGGCCGGCGTTTTAGGAAAATACTATCTC